ACGTGTCCTCGCCTGAGGCCATGGACCGCAGAGTCCGACCTCGCCTCCCGGGCAGGTCCTGCTTCTGGCCCCTGACCGCCAGGAGAGCGCTTCTCAGCAGCTTCAGGTCCCCCTCCGGGTTATCATTGAGCACGTAGTCCTTGCACAGGTAACAGAACACATAGAGATCCCGGACCTCCATGGCTAGTGGGTGTCCAGTCTCTTCAAAGTGTTTCAGGGCGTGGTCCTCAATGTAGCGACCGCAGGCCACGTGCGAGCACTTGAGACAAGCCCACACCGACTCGGTGGTGGTGCACTCCCTACAGCACCACTTCTGCGGGTTCAGGATGGAGTGGTCCTGGGCCAGCCGCAACCGCCCTACATGTTTGCATCTATCCATGTCTCACAGAAGGCTCCACTCTTGCAACCTGGCACAACAGGGCCCCCCAAAAGAGAGAGAGAAAGAGAAATAAAAGCTTTCAGCAAAATATTTTCCTAGAAAAAGGCTTGCTACTGGCATTTTCAACTCAATGCTTATTAGTTTTCAATTCAAAATTGGTTCCTTTGGAAGTAAGTTTTTTAAAAAGTAAAGCAAATTTAGTATGGAATGAGAATTACAGAAAAACAAGTCCCCTAAAAACGAAGAATTATAAAGTTCAGGAGGAAGGGCCTACCACCAATTTGAAACTTCAAATTTTCTAAGCCTGTTTTAATTCTTGGCTATCAACTGATTTTTGTGTGAGGCTACTTTTGTGTTCCTTAGGAAAGTCATTACCCTTATTTCACATGGCACCCAACTGGTCAACAAGGGAAAGAAACTTGTGCTCTAAACCATTTCTGAAATGATGATGTCCTGGAGGGAATACTAATCACGATTCTGGTTGTATGAAGGGACAGCTCTAGCTGTTTTGTCTCAGTGGATGGATAGAGCTTCGGCCTGGGGACCAAAGGGTCCCCAGCTGGATTCCCAACTTTGGTTGCAGGCTCCTCCCCCGCGGGGGCCCTGGTCGGGGTGTGCAGGAGGCAACCAATCTATGTAGTTCCTAAACCACCTGTGAGCCTCAGAATTCCCTAGGGTACGTATATGTACAGATTTCTGGCCACGACTCCAAGTCTGATGAATCAAGAGTCTGGGGAGGCGTCTAAAATCTGCATTTTAAACA